TATTAAGGTATTGAACATTTTTCTATGATTTCGTATCAAATGACTTAAGCGAGTCAAGAGAATGAGAGGCTCAATTACGAGAGTTCATTGATCAAGGTTTTATTACCCATGTATTTCATCTTGGGGAGTATTTGTGTTATTAGCGAAAAGAAAGATAAATCTATGTGGTTATGCATAGATTTTTCATAGTTAAATAAGACTCTTCGAGAGAAGAAGTTGTATGTCAAACTATCCAAATGTGAAATTCTAGTTAGCAGAGATGGTTTTCTTTGGCCAAGTTGTTTTGGCATAAGGTATAATAATAGATCCTAAGAAAAACTCATGTTGTAGTAGATTGGAAACTCCCAAAGAATGATCATGAAGTTTGGATTTTTTTGGGGCTTGTTGGTTACTATTGAAGGTTAATGAAGAACATTTCGATGTTAGATTTGCTGCTAACCAAGTTTTAAAGAAAGATGTGTATTTTTTTAACAGAGAAGGGTCAAGAGAGTTTCAAAATGCTAAAGAGGATTTTAATAGAGGCACCAGTGTTTAGACAACTTGAGTTAGGTAAGGATTATGCGGTTTTTACTGATGCATCTTCTATCGGCTTAGGAAGTGTGCTCATGCAAAAATGTAAGGTTGTGACATATGTCTCGATAAAGTTGAAGACTCACAAGAGGAATTACCCTACGCATGATTTAAAGTTGGCAGCAGTCGAGTTTGCCTTAAAAGATTTGACGCCATTATTTGTATGGTGAGCGGTGCTATAGTTGTGCTAATTACAAAAGCCTAAAGTACTTGTGGACTTAAAAAGAGTTGAACTTGAGACAGAAAAGATGGACAGAACCTTTAAATGATTATGATGTGATCATTGATTATATTCCAGGAAAGGCCAATGTTGTTACAAAGGTACTTGGTCAGAAATATTTTGTAGTTTTGCGAGCTATGGATATACGGTTAGTGTTGAATGAAAATGGAATTGTGGGCTGGATTAAAGATGAATTCGTTTTTTTTATTAGATCGGATAAGATAATTACAAAGGAAAGATGAAATTTCTTGATAAGAATTGTATAAGTTGAAAATGAAGAAATTAAGGACTTTTGAGGTCAGGTTCGACGGATGTTCGTATTATTGTGGGAAACTTTGTATTCCTGATGATTAAGAATTTAGAAAGATAGTCTTTTTGAGGCATTAAGTCTGTTGACTATGCATCCAGATGGAAACAAGAGGTACTAAGATTTAAAGAGTCGGTTTGGTGGCCTGGTTTAAAAAGAGCCATCATGGAAATTATAGCAAAGTGTCTGACGTACTATTATAGGAAAAGCTGAACAACAAGTATCTTCAGAATTGTTTCAATAAATCTCGATTCATGAATTGAAAAAGGAAACGAGTCACTGTGGGTTTTGTTACAAGGCTACCTTTAACACCTATCAATAAAGACTCAATATGGGTGATTGTTGATAGATTTACCAAGACAACTCACTTGATTTTAGTACGAGCATAGTAGTCGATGAATAAATATGATGAGATATACATGTAAAAGATAGTTTGGCTCCATGGAGTGCCAGTATCGACCATATCCGATAGAGATTCAAAATTCACTTTAAGATTTCGGAATTCTTACATAAAGCTTTGGGTACTCAATTGAAATTTAGTACGTCATTTTCATCAACAGACGAATGGTCAGTCGGAACATACTATTCGGATATTGGAAGGTATGTTGAGGGCATGTGTAATTGATTTCAAGGGATCATGGGAAAGATATTTTCTTTTAGCAGAATTTGCTTACAATAATAGTTTTTAATCGAACATCAAGATGGTTGTATACGAAGCTTTATATGGGAGAAAAGGTTGAACACCATTAAATTGGTTTGAGTTAAAATATCGAAATCTAGTTAACCCTAATTTAATGAAAGAAATGGATTATAAAATGAAAGTTACCGAAGATAATCGTAAAATAGCTTTCGATTGACAAAAGTCTTATGCTGATATAAAGAGAAAAGATATTGAATAGCAAGACGGTGATAAAGGTTTTCTGAAAATATCGCCTTTGAAGGAAGTATTGTGGTTTGTCCGATAATTATTGGACCTTATGAGATTTTATCAGTTAGTTTTGCCTCCCGAATTGGACAAGACCTATAATGTTTTTCATGTATTATTTCTTAGTAATTACCAATTAGATCCATCGCATGTTCTTATATTGGGGGAAATAGAGATTCGATCAGATTTGAATTATGAAAAAGAACCAATACGGATCTGGACTCAAGAAATTAAGAAACAACGTAACAAGACGAATCCTCTAGTTGAAGTGTTGTGGTAAAAGCATAAAGTCTTTAAATTCGATGACAAATTTTTCTTAAGGGGGAGAATTGTAATACCCAAATATCAGGCCAGTGACTATATTAAAAAGATTTAAAAATTTGGAGGGTTAAATTGAATAAATAGTAAAGTATAAGAAAATTATTTAGAAATTTTAAGACCAATTAGTATGAAAAGAAGAATAAGAGGGTATTTTGGTCCTTTAGATGGAAATGGATTTAAAATGCATTTTTAATAAGGTATAAAAAAGGGGAAAATGGGAAAAAGGAGAACAAGATAAGTTCTCTTCTTCTTCCTCCTAGTCTTGTGCCCTCTATAACCAAGGTAAGGGTTCTACAACACCGTTTTCCTTTCATTTTGGGTTTGTTCTTGAAAACTTAAGTGATGTGTAATCTTAAGGAAGGGTTAAAGAGGATTAAAACTAAGAAATTGATGTTTTATTTGAGATTGAAGAAAATGGGTTTTTGAGTGATTTGTTGAAATACGAGTTTTTATTCATGTTTACAAGTATATTTGACTTGTCAAAGAAGTAAATAATATATTAGAAGCCTTGGATATAATTAAAAACATGTTAGAAAGAATTAGTATGATTCGTAGTTTGAGATGTTCTTTGGATAATTTAGATGTTATAAGAAGCTAAATGGAGAAAAGTTAGTTGGGTTAAGTGATGTTAAATTTAAGTGTATTGTTTGAGGTAAAAGTAAGAGTTTTAAATGAAAATTTAGTAAAAATCGAGCTGAAAATGGAAAATCTAGGTAAGGGTTTTGGTACTGGAAGAACATTATTGATTCTATAGATTTAAATTTGAAGAATTATGATTTACAGTATCGATACTGATACAATTTAAAGGAAGGTATCGATACCATGGAATACAAAATGTAGAAATAGTATCAATACTGAAAGGGGAGTATCGGTATTATAATATATAAGTATCGATACCATGATAGGGGTACTGATATTATTGAATCTGGAAACTTTAAGATATGATGAATTTTCATAGAAATTGAATATAGAAGTACTTTTAAGTATTTTTAAAAGTACAAATGTTAAAGAAGTATACTAACATTTGGTATGGTGTGTGTAATTAATGGATGCTTGTGTAGATCGTAAGCAAGCTCCCGAGTCAAGCAATAAAAAGGGCAAAGATAAAGTTGTCAAATAGTTGTACATCCTTAAAGCATATTAACGAGGCATACCAGGTGAGTACATTTATTGTATTTATATGAGATGAGGAAGATTCGCAATGAGTCAAATTAGATTGTTTTAATTTAATGTATGTTTTACAGTATTTTATATATGTTTAGAATGTGTATGGAATTGACTATTATGAACACGTTTTAGAGTATGAACTGCTCTAAAATGAATGAATAAATGAAAATGCATAACGGTGCATTATAGGCAAGAAAGGATGTCATAAATGAAATGCATAACCGTGCATTATAGGCATGAAAGGATTCCATAAATGACATGCATAACGGTGCATTATAGGCATGAAAGGATGCAATAAATGAAATGCATAACGATGTATTATCGGCATTAAAGGATGCCATAAATAAAATGCATAACGGTGTATTATCGACATGAAAGGATGCCATAAATGAAATGCATAACGGTGCATTATCGGCATTAAAGGATGTCATAAATGAAATGCATAACGATGCATTATAGGCATGAAAGGATGCCATAAATTAAATGCATAACGGTGCATTATCGACATGAAAGGATGACATAAATGAAATGCATAACGGTGCATTATCGACATGAATGGATGTCATAAATGAAATGCATAACGGTGCATTAATGGGATGAAAGGATGTCGTAAATGAAAATGTATAACGGTGCATTATAGGCATGAAATGATGTCATAAATGAAAATACATAACAGTGCATTATAGGCATGAAAGGATGCCATAAATGAAAATAAAGAATAGTTACTAAAGAATAATAGGGGAAATATACATAAATATAGGTGTGTTGGACATACTAAGAATAAGAAATGCATAACGGTGCATTAATAGGATGAAAGGATGTCGTAAATGAAAATGCATAACGGTGCATTATAGGCATGAAATGATGTCATAAATGAAAATACATAACAGTGCATTATAGGCATGAAAGGATGCCATAAATGAAAATAAAGAATAGTTACTAAAGAATAATGGGGGAAATATACATAAATATAGGTGTGTTGGGCATACTAAGAATAATTTCGATGATTGTATGAAAGAAATCGAGTTTAACTGAAAAGGATTTATCTGATCCAGATAGAGTATGTGATTTAGTTCGTCATTAAATAATCATGATATACTTATGTATAAATTGCAGTTTCTTTACAATATTATATCTCACTAAGTAAATACTTAACTTGTGTTGATTTCACGCGTAGGTAAAAACAAAAACTAGACGGGTAATAGGTGCAATAGCAACTATCATCAATCTAAGGTTGACATTAGTAACAGTAGTACAATCATGTTTATTTTGAAAAATTGATGGCTTGTAATCGAAAAAAGGAAAATGCTCTTAAATGTATTTAACGTAATAATTTTGGTAATATGTTTCAACGACTGTTTTATTATTGTACTAAAATGTTTTGTTTTAAATTTCGAAACAAAAATTTTATAGTTTTACAAATGGGTGAATGTTTTTACAAGTCATGTGACATCTATGACTTGTGTACAGAAACATATACGAGAAATGAGTGTTACAAAGTATATTTGCGGTATGTATATATTAATGAAACTGTTGTATCCGAGTTGAGGGGAAAAAGACCCACATTTTCACCCAAAAAAAATGGATTATGGTACAACAGAATCAATGAATGTCTGGTTCGAACCTAAGCTATAGAAGTGTTCAGTAAAGCAATTAGTATAGACAATAATGTTAGAATTCCTGCAATTCTCAAACTGGAACCTGAAGCAATATCATGTGCACCGATGGAATACTCCGCCCCCGAACTTTCATCCCTCACCTTGATGCTCGAAGAGCCTAAAAGTTAACCATAATGACATTTTAGAGAATCTAATTTCCAGATACCGCATTAAGTTCTTTCTCAAAGAAAAACTGATGCAATTAAAGCAAGACTAATTTGCATGCTCATATTAATGCTCGAAAGAATTTATAAGGAAGCTGATACATGCTTATGAGGACCGACATCTGAATGTCCATTTTCAATTTGTAAAAGCATTTATAAGGGTAAAGTACACAAATGGTCCCTAACTATAAGGCGTTGCTTTGTTGAGGCCCCGACTATTTAAAGCTACTAAATGGTCTTCGACTATAAAGCGTTACTTTGTTGAGTCCCCCGACTATTAAAAGTTATAAAATAGTCACCCGACTATTCATTATATTCTAAACTCGTCATTTTCCGTTAAAAAATTAACTGTTATCTAAGTTGGACATTATCATACTAATTGAGATATGATAGTCGTTTGAGATTATGAAATCAAATTTTATAATATCTCAATCAGCATGTTAACATCCATATCAGATGACCGTTAATTTTTTAATTGAAAATAATGAGTTTAGAACATAATGATTACTCAGGTGATCATTTTGTAAATTTCAATAGTCGAAGGACTCAACAAAGCGATGCCTTGTAGTCGATGGATCATTTTGTAACTTTTAATAGTCGAAGTACTCAACAAAAAAGTACTCTATAGTCGGGAGACCATTTGTGTACATTACCCTAATTTTAAATACACCAATAGCTAAATAATGATAAAACAAATTCATAAACTTAAGAAAAATCATGAGGGGTGCGTGTGTATATACAAGTGCTTTATAACACAATTTAATTTAAGATCCAAAAGCTTTGTTTTGAAATTCAAGTTACCAAACACAACTTCATATATTTCTTTTATAATATTGGTGTTCCTTAAGTCTTAATATCAACTTTTTTCTTTTTGAAAATTCACATTAAAATGATAAGAAATATATAAAATATAAGAACTTTTGGTACATAGAAAAATGAAATAGAATAAGGCTTCAAAAGTTCTCAAAATTGAAAGGTGGACATAAAGTTTTGAACAAAAGGAATAATTCTTACCAATTAATAACTATTAAACAAAAAAAAAAATCAAAAGTAGACCTATCCAAAAGACCTAGAGGAGATACAATCCTATCACACAAAATAATGAGCGAAGAATTAGGAAGCCAACATGTCTGAACATAGAAAATGAACAATGATAAGCAAACAACAACAAAAATAATGATAGTAATAATAATAGTTTCAACCTAAAAACAGGTAAAATTCTTCAAGAGGGTACTCACAGTTGTATTCAGTCCATCCAATGGTCTGATTTTCTATATCATATACAACCACCTTATTTGAAAGCACCAAATCTGCATTGTCGAGAAATTAAATAAATGAAAACTGCATCAAAAGCTTTCATGTTATATTATTAGATCGTTCCCTTCTTCATGGTGTAGTAGAAAAATAGATTAGATAAAATAAATTACAATGATTGTTGAATTGAACTTGTACTTTTTGTCAGTTTTTTTTAGAAACATCAATGCCATCGATCACATCAGAAACGTTAATAATATTATAGGTTGAGATGTGCAAGTATTATAAGAGCCAAATATGAGCAAAACCAAAATTATAAACCACACTTAAGAAAAAGAGAATTATGCAATGTAAAACTCATTTTCTTGTAGTCTTTGGAAGTAAAAGTCAAATAATGTTTCTATAGCAGAAATATGATCAATTGGAAAAAAAAAAGGAATACCAGAAGATTGCTGGAGGTGGAAATTATGTAGGTTTGGGTCGGTTGTCTACAGACGCAATTCATCCCTAATATGGGCCAGGTTAAGGTCATTCCCTGTTCAAATTTCTTTGATCTATGGAAATTCCAGTTTTTGGTTACTTCTAGTCATGCACAAAATTTTAAAGAAAGACAACCTAATTTAAGGCTTAAAAAAGGGTGGAAATAGGCACGACCGAAAATGTGATAAAAAGGCATAACATTTTAGGTTGGACGCAACCAAAAATGTGACATTCTTCATAATATTTTCGATTGCAACCTAAAATGTTACGAAGAAGGTCACATTTTGTGTTGCCAACCGAAAATATTATGAAGGTAATATTTTAAGTCGCAACCAGAAGTGTTACGAAGAAGGTCACATTTTATGTTGCATCCCACCTAAAATGTCATTTTTTACCACATATTCAGTCGCACCCTATTTTTTCCGTTTTTTAGTCTTAGATTTTAGGTTGTACCGCAGAACTACCGTAGTCATGCCAAGCAAGATTTTCTATAACTTGAGACCCTTTAGTATGATTTTGTGTTTTGAGCCATTTGGAATCTGGTTATATTCATAATGTTTCAGATTCAAGTTTCTTAGTGCTCAGAGTTTTGCTTTTGTGTTCAGCTTGAATTGGTTTGAGTCAAATTAGGGCTTTGTCAGGCATGCATTTTATGTTCAGATTATTTTTTCACTCGAACAAATGCCAATCTCAAGGTGAGCTTATGTTAGACTGTTACAGAATTACATGTTAAAATCCCTTTTAAAGTGCACAAAGTAGACCCTTAGAGAAAAGTATTAGCTTAAGATCCACAAAAGCACAGAGGCATTCCACTCTTATATTTTGCAAGCAATGCGACAAATGAGTTCAAAACAAGGAATTTAAGGGTATACCTCCCAAAAGAATTATATCTTTGCCATCTTTAGATTGCATTCCACTGTTCTGCCAACCAAAACACCAAATATCTTCCTGCAAAAGCCATTAATTGATATCTTAATGCAAAACCCACAATGATAACATAGATTTTTTTTAATTGACACTAAACAGATGTTGAAGTAAATTATCTAAACAAAAATGAAATTTGACTGCTAAGCTAGTAATTAAATGATGATGGTGGTGGTGATCACAATTACAAAAGCAACACATGTTGTTAGCCTTGTTAATTTGTTTGAATCTGGAAGAAATGAAAATGACGGACCAACAGTATGTATCGAAAATAAAACTCTATGCATCAAAGCTTAACAGTTGCTACAAGAGCATCGTGGAACATAAAGCTAAATAGTACATCCATCAGCTTATGTGCCCCCTTTGGTATGCTTATAAAAGTTACTTTTCGTGATACTTGATCATTCTTGTCATACCTACTTGTTAGTAGAGGTGTCCATGGACCAAGACCAACTGAATTAACACCTCAAAACCCTTGCCTCAGGCCTGACCCTGTGGCCCAGAGAGCCCAAAAGTATTAAAATAAAATATAAAAGAACTACTTTTATATCAACATCTTGAAATGACAATCCAGCTCAGTTGGTAGAGCACAAAGTTCTTAACCTTGAGGTCGTGGGATCGAGTCCCACGGAGGGCATTTCATAATTTGGAGATCTCCCACGAAAGCTGCTCTCAACCTGGTGTTGGGGGTAGCCTACTATCTTACCTCCCCCTTATCCCATTACATATGGGAATAAGGGTCAACTAATTTTTTTTTATATCAACATCTTAATAGTTTTAAATATTTTATAGAATTAAAATAATAATGTCTCTGGCTGAGGCTGGGCTTGAAAAGGCTTATGCAGGATCCAGTGCATCAGGCAGCTCAGCTTGTTGAAAGACCAAGTTGTTAGGTATACAAGGAAAATTACTTTGGGAAGAGAAAAGAAGCAGATACCTAACATTTCCAGTTATACTTCCCACTACTTTTAGTTAACTGAGAGAGAGGGAAGGAGAGGGAGGGAGAAAATCAAACTTCCAAGCAGTTATATCTGCCAAAAACCAGAAGCAGCAGCATCCTTGACAAACCGGTTTTCTATCCCTTTAATGATATCTCACTCCCTCAAGCTGCTAACTCCACCCTCCCATCTACTCAATCCTATCTCTTTCCTAGGTAATTTTGTAGTTTAATGTGTTCTGTTTGAACGTGTTGTCAACAAAGAACAGGCCTACAGCATAGGCATTATAAGTTAAAAGCTGCATTCTCAAGAGTGCCAGAACTTTTATTCGGTGATAAGTTAGAAAGCATATAATGGCAGTAACAACTTCCAAGTTGGAAGCATTGTCATAAATGGACTTAGCCAATTTAGTTTACTAATTGCTTCTCAAAATAGAAACTGGATGAAGTAACTGGATTTATTTTCTTTACTTTAATTCAATAACTCTAAAAAGAGAGCTTTGACGAAGTAATTGGAATTTTTTTTATCTGAAACATAGATATTTTTTTTGAATATTTTAAATAAAGAAGTGAATATCACTATAAAAGTTTCTGAAACCACTGCTTAACCACACTCAGTTTCAGAAGTATTATTAAAAAGTCAAATGGAGTTTTTTAGTAGGTCATAACAAAAAGGTGCTTAAGCAAAAGAAATATAAAATAAAAATCTTAAAGGTTGATAGAATCCTTCATAACAATTGATGTTTACCTACAAAATAAGCTAATGGTATATTAATATGGAAGTGGCAAAAATTGCCAGAAACAATAGGCCTAGTTAAATTCTGGAAGTTAACTCATTTTCATCTATAATGATAATAGACAAGAACCACAATTTAACATAAGTTACATGGTAAGACGATGACTATGGTGAGAACAAAGTTCAACATATGATACTTGAGCATAATATGAAGCTTTATGGACTAATAGTTAGTATTCTACATTAAAAATAAATGTTAAATGCCTAAATTGATTAGAAGTATAAGACTTCAAAATACCAACATATATACAAGGGAAAGGTGTAAACGGATCATAAAATGAATTAAAAGAAATAAGTTGACTTACACGAATTTGGAACAGATATTCATGGGGATAAATTCTTAAAATAAGGGAACCCTCAAAATGAAACTTCACAGTCGGAAATCCATCATCAACACTGCAAGAGCACAGGAAAGAAATAACAAAAAGAAACAGCAAGTCTCAAACAAAGTAATTAACAGAAACTGATGAAAGAAAAAGCCATTGATCAGTCCAACACACATAACTTGACCTTGAGGTAAAGAAATGGAAAAAAAAAACAAGTCAAACAAAATTTAAATCAAGACTTCTCCATGTCCCATTTTTACTAGATTATCAATAACGAAGCTTATGTTTAAGCACCAGAAGAAGCAATATATTACAAATCCCTCATAAGATTTCTCAGAAACAAGAGAGAGCAACAATTCTGAAAAAACAGAAACAACTGTGAAGTAAAAACATGTTCTTGACAAGTCAAAAACATGTCGTATATCTTTTTGACAAGAGTCGGATGAATACGATAATCATCAATGATTACAATTTTGCACTACTTCTGGAAGTCCCTAGAGATTTCAAGTTAGAATAAAACTTTTTAGTCATTCTGGTTCAAAATAAAGAAAATATGCAATAAACATGTGTTCTCATCTGACAACTTTCCCTTGGAAAATTCAGTCTTACACTGACAACTTTCCCTTAGAAAATTCAGTCTTACACAAGACAGCATTCACAATTTATTTATTTATTTATTTCTTATAGAGATTCCAAGTTAGAATAAAACTTTCCAGTCATTCTGGTTCAAAATAAAGAAAAATATGCAATAAACATATGTGTTTTCATCTGACAACTTTCTCTTAGAAAATGCAGTCTTACATAAGACAGCATTCACAATTTATTTATTTATTGTAGTTGTATCCTTGGTCAAATGCACATTCTTTATTGTTAGTATAGGGTATATAAGGAATAACACCTCTATTTGGAATTGTATATAAAATGAGATATAAGACTAGAATAAAATCAGCATAAATAGTTGTAAAACGCAAGCACCGTTGAAGAAAAATATTTATATGTGGTAGCAACAATATTAAAGCATGAAATAATCAAAATAAAGTGAATCTGGGGGGAAATGTAACATTTGGAACATCAGAAATTGCAAACATTGCACCAGATAGATCTATTATCCATATCACAAACAAATGATATGCATTCCTGACATCTATATTAGAGAGTAAAATTGCAGTAAGTGTCTTACTTTTTCAAATAGTGAAAACAAGTAAATTGGTCTTCTACAGAATACAATTGCAATGCAGGTTGCGGGGAGAGAATCTAATTGACAGAAGAGACAATATAATTAGTAATAGATAATGTCAAAACCAATGTAAGTATCGATGTTTACCTCATCCATTAGTGGTTCATAAATTGCAGGTGGAAGATATGCTAAAGTTGTACCACTATCCACTATTGTTCCTTTTTGATCTCCGCTATCAAAAACATCACTTGGAAGTTGTAATAGAGTATCACCAACCTCAATTTCCTTCATTACAACATTGTAATGTGCCCTATGATTGTCGATAAAAGTTTATTTATGAATTTATAAACCAAGAAACCTGATTGATGAAAGAGTAAAACCTTAAACAAAAAAGTTAAAAACTGCAAGGCAATCCATGAGTGGACTCCAAGTAAATAGCAAAATGGTTTAATTTGTCAATCATGATCTCCTAGAAATACTTTATTACTGTAGTACTAAAAAAACGCAGCATTTATGATGTTTCTAAAGGATGAGATGCACCGTAAACTTGAAAACTTTTTAGCTATGAACTAATCTATACTTCTCTCTTCCTAATTTAGATATGTTTCATTTGGGACAGAAGAAATTGATATGATTAATTTGTATTCAGTTTGACAAGCATAAGATGAGAATGACCGCAGACAATACAAAATGATACCATGTAACCTGTTTATCTGAGGGAGTATGAGAGGATGGATTTGAAATGGGTGTTTCAAATTTGCAACATAATAGAGATCTATAAAATCCTAGACTTGAGTGTAATCACGAAGGTCGTCTTCCAATATCATAGTCGATGTAAAGTATTATACAGCCAACAACTTGCAGTAGTTTGAAGGATATGAAGGGGGGTTTTAATGAGGCCTCTTATTTTTATCAAAAAAAACTTGCAGCTACTATTTTTCATTTAAAAATGCCAACTTGGAGACAATAGACTATATTTTAGACATTAACCTACGGGAAAAATAAACTACTATATATACTTGCTCAGTATTCTACAATAAAGAAGGCAAATATAAGTTTTATATCCAAGCAACCTTGAAACAATCTTTCACCTAATATTACTAAATCAGAAATAAGAGTGGATAAAGAAGAACAAAAAATAAAAAGCAAAATTAGGAACATAGATTAAAGAAAGAAGCTAAGAAATTTAAGATAGACTACTTACTGGTTTGGAACCATTGGTGTTGTTTTGACTTTTGGTGATACCACTTCACCAATTGCAAAGATTCCACCTCCATCATCATTATCAAAACAGTGTGCAAACATTCTTTTTACTTTCCCAGTAGCAGCTAATTGTGATATTATAGAAGAATTTGCTTGTCCGAATCCTAGAATCCCATCTAGTGCTTCACTTGATGATCCTAATTCCCCGGATTGTCTACCACCACACCTAACCAAAACATAGAAATTATAAACTACATAAATAACCAAAACTGTATATCAGCAGCAGTGCAACAGAATATGCTTCCTAGACAATGTATGTTCTACCCCTAGAACCAACAAATATCAGCAGACTGAACCCATCTCGAATCAATACCTCTAAAGAGCATCACCAACTTCTACTTCTTTTGACAAAAAACTTCTATTTTTACTTTTGGTATTAGGGGATGGTTCAATGTCACGTTGAACAACTAGTAGAGAAAGAAAAGGATGGGCACCAAAAATACAGGAAAAACTTAAGCAGAATTTTAAGATAAAAAATGAGAACGTCTCAGTCATAACTAATTCCGATAGCCAGTAAGCAATAGAAGAATGAGGTAGGAATACGGTCTCAATTAGTATGTCTTGTAATCTAGGTATAATAAAGTTATACACACCATACACAAGAGTTAATCAGTAATTAAATGTACAAGTGCAAAAAAAAAAAGATGAAGAAGAAAAGGTCTTGTTTAAAGAGGTTATATAAACAAGGAAAAAAATCCAGTCATAAATGTTATATACACTAATAATTTAATCCCACATTTTCTACCTTGTCTGGTAAGATCTTAACCAACAAGCAGAATTAATATTTCACCACAGCAGGCACAATGGTATCTTATATTAAAGCCAAACACTTGGGACCATAAAACCGGCTTTGTAAGCTATAGCCAGTGATAAGAGTGATCAATAAATCTATGAATATTTGATTAAGTCTTTAAGAATGAAAAGAAAACCACCCATCTATTTACAAAAAATAGACTTTTTTTAGGAATATGAAAAATTGAAAAATGTAGGAGAAATCATAGTTACAAACAAATGTTCCTAGATCAAACCTGAATGAAAACCAGCCTTAAATCAAGGCTATACTCAAGTGAATTACTAAACATTTAGCTTCCTAATAGACCAATGACCAATCATTATTATAAGGTACATTTTCATGAACAAGCATAAGCAACAATGGAAGCAAACTAAATTTTGTCCTGGAAAATTCGAATTAATCAGAATTCTAACTCACCCGAAAACAACAGTACCATTTGTTGATTTACTCTGAAGGTTACCAGTCACCTGCTCCAATTGTATGTTGTCCTTTACAAAGTATCCAGCAGTTGAACTTCCATCACCATAAACAACATTATATTGGCACTGAAGACTAGGCTTGCAACCAGGGAGTGGACCATCATATGTCGAAGTACAAAAGTCTTGATCACAATAAACCAGTCTTGAAGTGGAGGACCTCTTTGGATCATATAATGTTAATCCTAGCTGCAATAGAATAACGAAATGGTAAATATTTTCTCCAAAAAAAAGTGTCATAATTCAAAAACAACACAACAATTATAACTTTATAGTAGAACTAGAAAGTACTTGTGACAGTTACATATCTGGTTATAAAAGGAACATACACCAAGGTCACTTTTTGTGGGACACTTGTCACATCCAGCACAATTCACCCATAGAATGTCACTACCAGTATCAACTTGAACATAATACTCCTCTGATGGATTTCCTAATCCAATTTTAGCAAAATAAAGCCTGAAAAGAAAATGAGAAACAAATTAGATGGAAAGAAAATTAAATCTGCTTCTTTACATACCAAATAGAGCAAGTCAGCTTAATATAAAGCTACAATTATCTCAAGTAGGATGTGTTTGAAGTATCTTAGCTTTAAAAGTAATTATTAAGCATGCGTATTGGATGGAGTTAGAGAGCAATTAAGCATTTAACAAATTGCACCATGATACTTAAAACAGCTGAAAATTTTTCAACTATATAAAGATGAAACTGAAAAAGAAATTGATAATAAATTCAATCATACTTGACCCTCAAAAGAAGATATTTTCTCAAAGAAAAATCCTCCTTTTTTTTTTTTTTTGCAGCAACCGAGTCTCATGCAATAAGTAGTAAACTATAATTCACCATATTCATACATTAACATCAAATTTCAGCCAAACTAAATTTCATCTAGAAAGGAAAAATAACAATTCCCTTCACCTGATTCGATTTTACTCCAAAAAGAATTCCTTAAAGTGAAACATATAAAAGAATCCAAATATATATACATGGAACCAAATATAATCCAGGAAAAATAAACCCAGCAAAGGAACATAGAAATGCAAACAAAAGATACATAAAAAAACAAAAAAAAAATGAAAAGCTAACCCAGTTTCAGAAGGGTGGCCATTGCCACCTAAAGGGATATCCACATCGACAGTCGACAAAAGCCTACCATGACGACGCATATCATGAGCTCGCATTGCACTTAAATCCTTCCCTCGGCCTGCAAATTTACGTTTTACATTTAAAGTCAGGACGTTGCCTAAACAACCAGAACTCAATTCACCCACAACCATTGCCGCCACAATCACAACCAACAAAGATAATCTCCATAGATCCATCATCTCCACCAATAACAAATATCCCCCTTCCCTCTGTCTCTAATGATTTGAAAAACTTATTTTTTTTCCCAGTTTTTTTTTCCCATAAAATAGTAAATTTCAAAGAAGATTCAAAAGCATATGGGGCACAACGACAACGAGAGAGAAGTGGCAAAGACAGAGACCAAAACCCACAAGAAGTTGAGAAATGAGCGTTTTCAACGCCTATTCACGCGTCTTTTTCTGTAAAGAAGCTAAAGCACCACGAGGAGTACAAAGTAGTTTTCTTTTGGCTTAATGAAAAAGTATGAGACCAAATTGTAACTTTATTCATTTTAGCTACCTAAATTTTTTTTAATTTAATATAAGGGTAAACTACAACGGTGATTATTAAATTATGCTCAATAATTATTTTAATCATCGATATTTTAATTTAATAAAAATTATAAAACGTGTCATCACATGATTAGAGAATTATTTTTAGTTGAATAAATTTAATCACCCAACAACAGGTAAAAGGAAAAAAAAAACACATAGATGCTGCTCAAAGGTTTCGAACAAAGGACATTAGTCTGCAAGCCTTTACCATTGGGGTAAGGGCTCCTTTTGATAATCTGCAAATTCTTTTGTTTATTTTGTTTTAGATTATTTCGCACAAATACATATACATTAAATTATTCAAACAAATCTAATAAATCTATTTTGTTTTTCACACACATATATAATCATAGTTAACAGATAAAAAATGAGAAATAATTTTTTTTAGAAATGAAAACAAAAAGTTAATATTCAGGTTTTAAAGTTATTTTATGACTCAAGTTATTTTTGTAACTTTAGATTCTCTAATAAATTTTTAATATAATTTTACTTTTTAATATAAATTATATATAATTATTTAAAAATAATTGTGAAGAAACTAATTTATTTAAAAATACACAAATATTAAACTAAATTTTATTTATATTTATAAAAATAAATCTTGTATTAACTATGTAACCTCCTCAGAACGATGCGGGTAACCCAATCCGGGAAGTCACATTAGGGCCACCAGAGCGACCCACTGTAAAAATCTCAGAAAATTTAAAACTTTTGTTAAAACATGTACTCATAAAATGATTTATCAGTATAAAAAAATAAAACAGATTTTCATACTCGTATATAAAACAAAATACAATTACATGACCCCTAATCACATGTACCATACTCTACAAACAATGCCGGAAGAACTCTCATACTGAAGTCGATAATTGCACTGGTACAATTCTTTTAACCTACAATGGTGAGTAATAGAGTGAGCTTCGGAAAGCTCAGTAATACAAAACTACCAGATGATACTGAAGAACGTGCAGATACAAATAAACATATATTTCCTTATCGGTTCAGACATCTACAAATTTTTGTGTTGAACGGAGATCCTACTGATATTTCAAGTGGTAACAGACAATGAGTTTTCAGTTCAGAGAAATATTTCGGATGACTGAGTTCAGGAGATCATAATAGGTAATCTAGTGTGTTCCCGCAAAACCAATAAAAAGATATAGATCTTTTTAAAACATATTTTTAAAATTCAAAAACCATAGTAATTCCCCCAACTGAACACGTCCAAAATATGTAGGTTCCCCAGAACCATGCAATCCCGTCACGTCTAGTAAGGCCCTGAGCACAAAGACGAAGAACCTGCAAGTATTCTTCCTCCAACAATACCCCCAAGTAAAACATGTTCTGTCTGTAAACGGATATATCAAAAATCAAAAGATAATTCAGGTCAGATATCATAACAGAATCCAGGTCAAGTATCAGATTAGAATCCAGGTCAGGTATCATAATAGAATTCAAATAGGAAATAAGATAAAATATTCATGTGATTAGGGAACACACCAGAGTTTACAGATATTATTCAGAGGTACTGGATAATCTTATCGGGCAGAGAAACACGGATCTTCAGTATACTGATAGAATGTTGAAATTTAGAATCACTATTGGAAGAGTTCAATAACTGACGAAATCATCAGTTATTCAGAATATGATTTATCAGGATCATATCTTATTCAAACATTTTTCGGAAGCTCAACGTAATCATAAGGGTATTCAGAATCCTTTACATATGAGTTACTTGTGTTTTCAAATATGCCCAGAGTGGTTTGAGCTGATAAGGGAGAACGAAGATTCAGAACCTTTACAATCTATGTCGATTGATTGGATTATCGAACAATTCCAGATGAATTACTCCAGAACTAATGCTTATCGACTGGTCAATTCATTGTCCTTCCAGGGTATTTACTTTTTAATACCAAAAATTCTTATCCATAGATCATCTTCGGAATCATCACTGAATAGATCATCTTCGGAATCATTACTGAATAGATCTTAAGGAAACTAACAGATATTCCAATGCTCTTTATTTCATTTCCATGCTTCCACGATATCATGAAATGCTGACGTGCTTGATTTGTAGTTCACCATAAGAACATTACATCATGTATGTTCAATAACGTTTTCAGACTCATCCAAATCACTTATTTAATCCTCAGTCATTGAGGTTACTTATTTCATTTAGCAGTCAAGTTTATCTCGGTTACTTCAGAGTTTTCCAGAGTAATTCGGATGTTTTCTGAATTTCGGATACATATTGTACTTCCATTCAGTTCAGTTCGGTATTCGTGGTTGATTTGTCGAACAAATATTAAATTCTTAGTACTGAATACGATCTAGAGTTAAGCTGAGTTGAATACTTCCAAAATTATCATCGAGCCAAACTTGAGAAGACGATCACGCATTCAAGTAATATTTATACCGTTCATGTGCTGACATATCATTAAGGTTGATCGGTTCACTTAAGTTGTGTTCCATAACTTTTAAGGGTAGTATAACTTAAAATATAACTTCAATCCTCCAAATACTCTTATCAACTTATAATTCAACTAACCACTCCAAATTCCTCCATTTAACCATTAAAATGAATTCTTTGAGAATTCATCTCAAAACTTCCAATTTAATCAAAATGGTACCTTGCCATTTAAATCTTCAATTTCAAGCATCCAACAATTAAATTCCAACATTCTAATCACACATTTATACATTACTCTTTAACTTTATGCTAATTCTGATTTCAAGCCCAAACCTTTCCTTTCTAGGCTTTGGTCGCTAAACCTTTATAAGCTTCCAAATTGTTCCAAACAACTTTCTAAAGCTTACAAAATCATCCATTCATCATTTCTAGCATGAAGGAATTTTTTACATATTTTTCCCTAATTTATTCATCATGGTTGAATATGAAAGGTCACCTAAGGCTTGATTTCCAACTTGATTCAAGCATGAATTAAACTTCCAAACATTATTTCCAATCATGTACAATCAATCCCATAACAATTTCAATTCAAACAACCGATCTCCATAAAACCCTAACTTGGCCGAAAATTAGTATATGAATTTCCAAGTAGTTTCAATCATCATACAAGTATGAAAATGATTCTCCAATTTCAACTACACGATAATCAAGCCTTAGTTCATTAAAACTTAACATCCCCTTCATCCATCAAATTCAAGAATCCAATGTTCTAAGCATGGAAAACATGAACTAATGGTACCAAAAAATAGAGAATTTCACGTTGAACAATTTTCTATTTCATGTTTTCATCCAAATTCCTAATAAATTGGCTTGAAAAATCAAAAGAAAATATTTTTTACCTTGTATGGAGACTAACGACCAAAGCTTGGAAGATGAAAAGAATTCTTGATTTTTCTTAAACAAAAATCTAAGCCTAATTTGTCACATTTTAATGATAAAATTAATTAAAAATTCATTTAATTCAAAATGACCATTTTACCCTTGAAATCCAAGGATCCATATTTTTCCACATGTCATTTTATTCATAAAATGGTAAAAAACAAACCAATAAGTTTGTAGTTACCAACTTTTCCCTTTGAATTTTCCAAAATTACAATCTAATCATTTTTTATCAAACAATCCAAATTAAATATGGAAAACTATCTTTAATCAAATGGTTCATATTAAATCCTGCAAATTTAAGTCATGGAAATGACATTTTTAACCTTGCTTCATCATCCTTCAAAATTTCCTGAAAGTTCAATTCGATCCGATTATCTGGATTTTTCTCGATCTTTATCACTTTATATCTTTTAATACAAAATTCGTACGAAAAATATGAGTCCCACAGAAACGTCATTATCAGGGGTAAAATATTCATTTACAAGTTCAGATTACATAACTTTTTAAAATTACACTTTGGTCCTAAATGTTTTCAAAGGTTATACTTTGCCACTTAACTTTCAAAATTTTATATTTTGGTCACTTTTCAAAATTTGGGATATTACAAAAGGATTTAATCTCGGCCTTTGATTTCACTCATCCAACGGTCCTAAAAAGATGTAAAACTAAGAGTTTTACACTTGGTGTAAGCAGATCCTAACCCATCAATAATTCTATATATACTCGATTTGACTTATACCCAACTCGATTCTAATTGACCTGAAGATCCAAGGTTGACCCAAAACAAATTGGTGATATGATATTGAACTGACACTAAAATTGAACGACCTGATTCGACTCGAATTGAAAATTAAATAATCTGATATTAACCTGAACCAAAAATCAATTGATATAATATTGACTCAATCTGATACCCAACCTAACCTGACTACTCACAGACATGAATAAACCAAAACTTGAAATGGCTCGAATCGAACTGAACCTGACCCAAATCAATTCTAAAGCCAAAATGACCTGACCTAAAATTATCCTACCTGAACCCAATCCAAATGATTTGTTTGCACCTCTAACCTTAGCCTATAGATTGGAGTTCCCGTCAGCCATTCGAGCTCATCCAATGTTTCATGTCAATTTACTCAAGCCATATCACCAAGATTAAGATGATCCATGCTGAGGAAAGTCATATCGAGCGCTAGTCAGAGTGAATGTTTTATATGAGAATGAGTACTTAGTTTAATGGAAGGGAATTCTTTATAGTGAGGGGAGTTGGGAAAATGTTAATGGCCATTGCAAATTTAGATCCGAGATAGAGTAGTATAATTTTTGCTGCGTGACGAGGGCGTCACTAGATCTAATGGGGGAGAATATCACAGACCGCGAGCTTGGGGCTAAGACTAGTGTCATACCCCAATATGGGGTTAGATTTCTTTCAATTTAAAAATATGTGAAATGATATGGAGTTTGACTGACAAATAATGGTGTTATCATACTATTATTATATTAAACAAATTGAGGGCCATTGAATAAGAGATATATTATTTTTAGTAGTAA